ATGTAATAGTTTGAAAACTTTCCTGTTTGTACTTGTGTATGTGTATGTGTAAGCTTGCCCACGAGTATACATATACAAACATACACATCTTTTTTTTTAATCCTTACCCAAAGATATGCTTTTATTAATTTGAGAGAGAGAGAGAAACATCAATCCGTTACCTCCTTATACTTGCCCCAATCAGGGATCAAACCCAAAACCTAGGTATGTGCCCTGACCAGGAATCGAACCTGCAACTTTTTGGTGTATGGGACAACACTCCAACCAACTGAGCCATCCAACCAGAGGGACATATGCAATTTTTTAAATCTGTGGAAACAACTAAGATAATTCATATAAATGAATAACATTTTTTATTAAAGTGATCACCAAAGGATACAGATAGCATGGTTTATTAATAACACAGGAATCATAAACAAGAGTGTTTTTTTCTTGTTTGATGGCTATGGAAAAATATATCTGGTTTAAGAAACATTAGTCTCATTAGTCATTTGTAGTAATACACCAATACTGCCAGGCAAATATTAAATGATTAAAGTTTATTGCTGCCAAGTCACTGTGGGTAAGCATCAATTTAAAGAGACAAACCAAGAAAATCATTTGAACTTGTACAGTCATAGCTCAAGGATATAGAAGGCAAAAACAAAAAGAATGAATTCTGAGTCTACTTTTGAATTCTTCATGTCTGACTCTAGAAGAATGAACCAAAAACTTCAGGTTAGCCAAGTACATATGTGACTTCATGTGTCTCTCATATAATAGCAGTTTGGAGCCACAATCAAATCTAAAAAAATATTACAGCAGGAAATGGAAATCTGCACTACTAAAGGGTAAAGAAGAATATATAAACTGTTATATTAGAAGAAAAACAGAAATGAAAATCCAGTGCAATAGGGGAAGCTGGCTGGCAAATGGTTAAGCACTTTTTCAAACTGCTCAGTGCTAAATCATTATTACGGGACTCAAACCTCAACATTCTACCAGGATATGAAACTGTTAACCCACCACACTCCTAAATATTGCTTAATAAATTAAATTCAAAACTGTCAATCTTATTGGATATATACTTCTTAGAGATTTCTTTCAACTTAAAACAGAAACAGCTGAAGTAACAGCTATTCCATCATTACTTTTGTCCTAAAGGCATGGATTCTTAAAACCTCTCATCAATGAACGATTAAATTTTATGAACTGAAAGAAAATTTAGGAGGTCACTTTTAATCCAAACTCTATCCCAAGCTAGGAGACTCTAATAAATACATTTAGCAAAGAGAGTTCTCTATATTTAAGACTCAATATTGATTGCTGGGGGTGACATAAATAAATCTAAAACCTGATACCTTCCCTCAAAGAATCTATAGAATACCCCAAAGGAATTATAGGCTGTGAAACATAATATTATACTGTAATAAAAATAAATGTAGCCCTGGCCAGTTTGGCTCAGCGGTTAGAGCGCCGGTTAGAGACCCGGGTTCAGTTCCTGCTAGGGGCACATACCTCGGTTGAGGTTTGTCCCCAGCCCAGGTTGGGGTCGTGTGGGTGGCAACCAGTCGATGTGTCTCTCTCACATCAATGTTTCTCTCTCTTCCTCCCTCTCTCCCTCCCGCTCTATCTGAAAATAAAAATGTCCTCGGGTGAGGATAAATAAATAAATAAATAAATAAATAAAATAAAAATAAATGTAAAACCCTAAGAACCAAGAGGCCTCAGGGAATGGTTAAGCAATGTTTGAGTTAGGCCTGAAACAAGGGGTCGAATCTAGACATTTGGCAATGGAAGAAAAGGACATTTCTGGCAGTGAGAATAAAATAAACTCTGATGCCCTAGGGGACACACCTCATTTCCAAATACTCTTCCCTTACATATTCTGTTCTTTCCATGCCAGGGCAGCTTTTTCAAACAGGCATTGCCTCCTCAGGGCCACTGCATCTCCTGCTCCCTCTGCTGGAATGATCTTCCCCCAGATATCTGGAAGGCAGGCTTTCTTTCTTCCTTCAAGTCTTTGCTCAAACGCCACCTTCTTAGTGAGAACTTACCTGCCTATCCTATTAAATTATCATCCTTACACTCCCTGTCACCCTTTCTTGCTTTATTTTTTCCACATCACTTATAACTACCTAACACACTATGTATTCTACTTCTTATTAGTTTTGTGTATTCCTCCTCCCTGAAAGAACAGAAGTTATGTTTATTTATCTTCAGATTTTAAAACACTGCCTACACCTGGTAGGCATGAAATAAATATTTGTTGACAAATTGACTGAAATAAATGAGTGAAAAAGATTTCCACCCTCAAATAGGTTATGACCTAGTGAAGGAAGCAAATATATAAATAAACAAATGAATAACCTTACCTTATTTCTGAATGACAAAAATACAGTTGGCAAAACCCAACTTATAAAAGACTAATGCACAAGAACAGCTTCTGGCACCCCAAATTCTACATGGCCAGTGACCACTAGAATCTTCTCCATATACATCTTAGTTCTCTTGCCCCCAGTAACACTGTCACTTATGCAATGGCCAAAATTGACACTAGAGCTGCCACTGGTGCCTGAACTGTCTCTTCCCACATTAACCTTTACTGCTACCTACTGAGTAAAGATAAAAAAGATTTTGTTCCCATTATTAGACAAGAGAATGATATATTCTCGGATTTCCAGATTAAATTCATTTTTCTACAGATGGTTAAATTCTAAACTGCAGGAATGGTTACACTGATATTATGGATTAGGCAAGAGACCTATTTTTAATATTGCTTAATTATTTCATTATTGTTACATACTGTTTAATACTGTAAATGGATGGCGCAAGCAAAATGCTTAAGAGAAAGTTCCTTCAATAAAGGATAGTACTATATTTTAGGCAATTAAAGGCATTTTTTTTTCACCCATAAGGATCAACTAGAATAATTTCCTGGATTAAGGAACGATGTAGCATTCTTAAATAAAGCATTAGCATTTAAATTACATTATCCTCAAGCCAAATAGGTGCAGAAAATATTCTTTATCGCTAGCAAAAGCAAGACTACTTAAGGAAATGAGGAATAAGCTCAAGATTTCTCACTTCAACTAACACCTCCATAGACTGCATTATCATTTTAGGCAAAGTGACATTTTCACATTTAATTTTTAACAGCAGGTATGATTTCTATCTGGGATTAATTTGCATAAAAGTGTTAGCCTTGGCACAGTTTAAATATTTAATTGAAAGTTCATTTCTGGCTATAAGCAAAATGCCCCAATACTACACAGTACAGTATTTATATCTCTATATAAACCCTACCAGTGATAGCCCAACTTGATGTGTTTTTACCTAACAGCGAATTTTGCCCTCAGATAGGCACATAACCCTCCCTGAAATCATTGCTAAACTGCTTCTCTTGACTATCTTAAGATCTGCATTTCAAACAATATATGAGATGAACCAAAGAACTTATATGCATGTATGCATAACCAAATGGACATAGACAACAATGCTGTGTGTGGGGGGGAGGGTGTCTAGAGAGGGGATAAAGGAGAAACATCTGTAACAAAAAATCAATAAAAATTGAAAACAACAACATTTACACTTCTGAAAGAGTTTTACAGATATTATTCTTCTTCCTAACGAGAAGAAAAACGATAAATTAGGGCAAATTCCCTTAGGAAGAAAAACACCAAACCAGCTGCTAAAATCTTAACTTTCGAGCATAGATAGAATCACAGCGCTGGCCGGTCAACGACAAACGTCGCCAGTTATTGCAGGAGTAAACAATGTACCGCCACTAAGGGAAAAGCCCGATAAAAGGTTAGTTCCCCACTGATCTTTTCCTGCAATCAGACCCAGGGAAGTCAAACGGGGCGGGCGGGCGGGCGGGCGGGCGGGCGGGCGAGTATCGCGGCGTGCGGAGGGGCTGTGCAAAGCCTGCGGTTATCAAAGCGCAGGAAGCGCACGTCCCTGCGCGAGGGGAGGATTACAGAGAAAACAGTAGCCCGTCTGTCCATAGGAGAGAGAGAAGTCCACCAGGAGAGGCTGGGAGTCAGGGAGGTGGGGCTGCGAGACCCGGGAGCGCGGTCTTCCTCAGCGGCTAACACAGAAGTCGCGGGTGTCGGGGAGGCGCGCGCCGGTGGGCTGGCGGGCGCAGGTGGGCTGCAGCTGCCGCCGGCGCGGGCCCGCACCGGGAAGTCTCCAGGGCCTCGCCCGCGCAGCCGGAAAACCACCAGGCAACAGACGGGCGAAGGAGCCGCCTAGGCAGAGCCACGTCGGAGAACGGGAGCGCGGCGGGAGGTGGGTACCTGGCTCACACCCACTGGGAGGCTGACAGCCCGGGAGCTCGAGGCGGCCGGGGCGCGAGAAGGGCCGCGGCGCGCCTGAGGGAGTCGCCCTGAGGGAGCTGCCGGCTGCCAACGACTCCCCTTCGCCCGAGTCGGCGGCGGCGAGATACTCACGTAAGGCTGGTAGAACTTGGAGAGCCGCGGCTTCCCGTGGTTGTTGAAGATGAGAATCGCCTTGATCATGGCTGAGCCGGGCGGACCGGGTGGGCGCTGGGGGCCGGGGCGGGGGCGGGCGCGCGAGCCTCGCCTCGGGATCTCGCCGGCGATCCTTCCCCACCCGCCCCCTCCCGCACGCGCGCGCGCGCCCCGAGTTGTGGGGCGGGGCGGGGCCGGGGCGGGGCCGGGGCGGGGCGGGGCCTGGGAGGGGCTGGCGCGGAGGGAAGCGGAAACACTGCAGGCCACAGCCCATTTGCCAGAGGGGCGCCTGCGCACACGGTGGTCCATAGCGATATATCCCACCGTCCGGAATACGAGGCTCGTTGCTATGGGAAAGCAGTAGCCGCAATATTAACGGTCAGGGGTTTGCGACAGGTTGGACATAGAGAACCAGAAGGCAACTTCAACTCTCACTGTTGAGTTGGGTCCCCTTACTCCGGCACCTGCTTAGCGACTGTCCCCGGTGCAAAGCTCCGCCCACTGCACAGGCTGAGTCCCCCCCACTTCCGCTCTCACCTCCCACCGAACAAGATGGCTGAGGAGCCGGAATCCGTGCTTCAGCTCCGTTCTTCAGGTGCGGCTGACGGCGAAGGTCCAATGGACGTCTCCCCAGGAACAGTCACTCCGGAGCCCCCTTCTTCCGCAACAGTCTCCCCAGGAACAGAGGAACCTGCCGGCGATACCAAGAAAAAAAGTAATTTTGAGAGTAGTTTCTTTCGGGGCAGAGGCGGGAGATTTAGATTGCTTCCCACTAGGGATAGAGGCCAATAAAGAAGCAAAATTTAGAGGAGGGCCCGTGCCAGACGTGGTGTTTGACTGGTCAGGAGAGGGGAAGTCTCTCAAGTTTGAAGGCCTTTGAATTGAGTGCCTCTCAAGAAAGCCATCGGCACCTTGGCAGTGTGGTGCGGTGCTTGGCCGCCGCAGTGCTTCCGACACTGTACTCGGTTCTCTTCCTCGCAGTTGGCCTGGCCTCGAACTCTGTTTAAAGTGGGAACTGAGTGGGATCTCGGTAGCTCCAGGTACTTAACACGGTAATTATTTGAAGAATGATTTAAGATGATAAGGATGGTGGCAAATCTGAGTTAGAATCCACGCCTTCCGGCTAGTTAGTTCGCAGTTTTTTATACCTCTTGCGTGTGAATTCACTCCTTGGACCACACTGATATTTTCCCTAGAATGAAGAATGTTAAGGGAAAGCTAAAGGCATGGGCATCGCCTTTGGAAAAAAAAAAAAACCACCACCACCACCCATTTGGGAACCTTTGTGAATCATTTCATTGTTTGAACTAGCTCTGTCATCTACCCTATATTGCTTGAGAATTACTTTGCCATTGTAAAATACAGAAATTACTAAATTTACTTGTTTTGGAGCGCTCTATGTAGACTTGCTTATGAGAAAAGCAGCAAATCAACACCTGTAATTTAAAGAAGTTGACCCTGGGCCTCAGACAGGTTTTCTCAGTCCAGAGTCTTAGTCTAGGTATTGGCATGTTTTCTGCTTAGTGATCTCACAGCCTCTTCTCAAACTTCAGTTTCGTCTGCTGTGGAAGTAATTGTCTCTCCCAACACTCTCCCTTTAAAGTTAGACCACCTCGCCCTGGCCGGTTTGGCTCAGCGGTTAGAGCGTCGACCTGCGGTCCAAAGAGACCGGGTTCGGTTCCCGCTAAGAGCACGTACCTCGGTTGCAGTTTGTCCCCGGCCCTGGTTGGGTCGTGTCCCTTTCACGTCGATGTTTCTCTCTCTTCCTCGCTCTCCCTCCCACTCTGTCTGAACAAACAATGGAAAAAAATGTCCTCGGGTGAGGATTAAAAAAAAAAAGTTAGACCACCTCTACATTTGGGGGGAATCTATTCTGTCATTTCCCCATGATGCTCTACTAGGGAAACAGACCTTTGATTATTTTTAAAGATAACCATTAGAATCTTCATAGGAATTCTATGAGTTTTACAGATTTTTGTTCCTCTTTTTCTTTCATTTTACTGTAAGCAGGAACAGATTTGCAAAGGGCCTGTTTTAAGCTCTAACAGTCTCAGTCAAAAGCTTACTTAGTTGACCCTGAAGATAGTTTTCTAAAACAGTGGCTAACAAACATGCCGAGGTTATATGGCATGTTTTCTTTGGTCTGAAATATATTTTCTAAAATGATAATTTAAAAATTAGTTCTTCTTAGCCAAGTCAGTGTGTCTCAGTGGATTGAGCATCATCCCATGGACTGAGAGGTCCTGGTTTGATTCCTGGTCAGGGCACATGCTAGGTTCCAGGCTTGATCCCCAGTAGGGGGCATGCAGGAGGCAACCAATGGATGTTAATGTTTTTCATCGATGTTTCTATCTCTCCCTTCCTCTAAATAATCAATTTAAAACTTGTTTTAAGTAAATAAATAAAAATTAGTTCTTCTGGCTCCCATGAGCATTTTGAGTTGCCTCTTATAAAACTTACTTTCTAGCTATTGAATTTCTACCCTGAAATTGTCATACTATTTTGAGGACCTCTTCTGATGAAAGGAGCTTAGGTATTTCATGTGTTCCACTTCTGGCTTAGTCTGTTGAACAAAGATTATTAAAGCAAACCAAGGTTGTTGGTCCTGGCCTCACATTAAGATTTCCTGGGGGAGCTTTTGAACATAGTTATGCCAAGACCCTACTTCCAAAAATTCTGATTTAATTGATGTGGACATCTTTATTATAAATTAAATGCTTCCCCAGTTGATTCTGATGCATAGCTAGAGTTGAGAACTGTAAGCAAATCACCTTTAGAATAAAAAAAAAATAGTTATAATTTAAATAAATATGTTCTTCTCTAGCTGCTTGCCCTTTCATTTTTTTTTTCCTTCAGTAGAACAACTCGTAATATTTTCTGCTTCGCTTTCTTGAAATGCTCAGTTGCATTGGAATTATTGATAGCCTCAGGAAATTGAGGGAGCATGGAAGGTGAGTTATTCAAAATCCGCTCATTTATCTTCCAATTCATCCCTATTCCCTAGATAATTGAAGCTAGAGTTATTAAGTGGAGGAAGGAAAGTAAACTTTTGCAAGAAGAATACTATGTGTATTATGTGTCCTAGGTGCCTTTGTCCAAGGATAAACTTGAATAAGTTGATCTCTGACTCCATTGGGTCCCAATTTTTACTTATTTATTTAAATGTTTTTATTGATTTTAGAGAGAGGAAGGGAGAGAGAGAGAAATATTGATGAACAAGAAACATCAACATTGATCCTGCATACCCCCTACTTGGGATCAAGCCCAAAACCTGAGTATGTGCTCTGACCTAGAATTGAACCAGTGACCTCTTGTTGTAGGGGTTGACACTGAATCACTGAGCCACACTGGTTTAGTGGGTCTCAATTTTTAATACCAAAGAATGGGACAAGAGGGATGTAATACACTAGAATTAACTTTAGGGGGCAGTAATACACTATTTTGCTTTCAATACTGCTTTTGATTGTAGATGTCTTTTTTTTTCTTTTTGTTAAATTTATTGGGGTGACACTGGTTAATAAAATTATATAGGTTTCAGGTATACAGTTCTATACCACATCATCTTTATATTGTATTATGTGTTTATTGCCCCCCCCCCCCCTTTTTAAAGCATAGTAACTTCAGGAGACAGATTCATAGTTTGGATTTGTATTTCTATTTTGAATTATTGAAACCTTTAATTTCTCCAACCAAAATTTTTGGCCCCTAGTCGTATTTTCTCTCTAATAATTATTGTGTTCCTTTATTTAAAAGGTTGTGGTAGCACCCTGGCCGGTTTGGCTCAACAGTTAGAGCGTCAGCCCACGGACCAGAGTCATGGATTTGATTCAGATCAAACCCCCATTGCGGTTCGGTCCCCAGACCTGGTCAGGGTTGTGTGGAAGGCAACCAGTTAATGTGTCTCTCTCACATCAATGTTTCTCTCTCTCTCTCTCCCTCCCTCCTTCCCACTCTATCTGAAGATAAATGAAAAAAATATCCTCAGATGAGGATTTTTAAAAAAAATAATAATGGAAAGCTTATTGTAGCCCAACCAGTGTGGCTTAGTCGGTTGAGTGTTGTCCCATGGACTGAGAGGTCCCAGTTTGATTCCTGGTCAGGGCACATACCTGGGTTGTGGGCTCGATCTCCAGTAGGGGACGTGCAGAAAGCAGCCAGTGTTTGTCACATGGATGTTTCCTATCTCTCTCTCTCCCTTCCTCTCTCTCTCTCTAAAAAATCAATTAAAAAAACATTTTTTTTTGCCCTGGCCGGTTTGGCTCAGCGGTTAGAGCATCAGCCCTTGGACCAGAGAGTCCCGGGTTCTGTTCCCACTAAGGCAGTGGTTCTCAACCTGTGGATCTCGACCCCTTTGGGAGTCGAACAACCCTTTCACAGCGGGTCGCCTAAGACCATCGGAAAACATGTTTCCAATGGTCTTAGGAACCGAGATACGCTCCTCTATCCGTCTCCAGGCAGGTCCACCCACATGCAGATACGCGCACATGCAACATGAGGAACTGTATTAAAGGGTCCCGGCATTAGGAAGGTTGAGAACCACTGCACTAAGGGCACGTACCTCGGTTGCAGTTTGGCCCAGGCTCCAGTTGGGGTTGTGTGAGTGGCGACCAATCGATGTGTCTCTCTCACATCGATGTTTCTCTTTCTCTCTTCCTTTGTCTCTCTCTCCTGCTCTATCTGAAGATAAATGCAAAAATGTCCTCAGGTGAGGATAAAAACAAACAAAAAACGTATTTTTTTTTTTAAAGAAAAGTTCTTGTAGAAAACTTGGTGGTTACAAAAAAAAGTACAAATAAAACCAAATAATAATCACCTATAATGTCACTGAGAAATAGCATTTTGGTGAATATTCCACATTTACATGAATATATATGTGCTTGTGATGGTTTTAATGAAATTGTGGTCTTATTATTCATGCTAGTTTATATTTAGTACATTTAGATAACTTTTCATACTGTTAAATATGCTTTTATAACATGTTTTCTTTAATGGCAGCTTATAATCTTAATGTTCAGTAAGTATGAGTTATGAGCTGATACTGTTCTAAACATGTATTAACTCATTTAATCCTTAAAACAACCTTATGAGGTAGGTGCTATTATCCTCATTTTACAGATGAAGAAACTGTGGCACAGAGAAATTAAAGAGTGTACACACACACACACACACACACACACACACACACGGCAAGTGGCAGAGCCAGGATTTTAAACCTAGGGAGTTTAGAGTGTGTGTTCATTACTGAATTATATAAATTCTATTGTAGATTATAATATCCTTTATTTAACCAATCCCCTCTAAATATTCTTGTTGGATATTCAGGTTTACCTGTTTGTTTGTTTGTTTTTTTAATAAAAACAAGTGTTCCAACAAAGGTGAAATCCTTCTAATCTTTTTACATCTCATATTTTATTAGATTAGATTCCTAGAACTATTACTATTATTGAGTCAAAACGTATTTCATAAGTATTTGGTAATATACTGTATTGCTCTCTAGAAAGGGGATACCATTTTGTATTCCCAATAAGGAGTATCATCCACAGTATTATTATTCCAGTTATTGCTAATTTGGTAGGTGTAAAAAGCCATGGTGTTTTGTTTTTGTTTTTTTGGAATTGTTAAAGTTCATGGAACTTCATGGGGAGACCTTTCTGGTACTAGAAGCAAGAAAAAAAAAAAAAAAAAAAAACATGATGAAGAATAAGTCTTACTACCTAACATTTATACATCTTAGACATACCTCAAGTTTGGTAAATATACTTATCATAGATTAAAGGTTTAAGTTTTCTAAAATCTTATGTATCACATTCACTTTAGATGTTTTAATGTAATTGTCATTTCTTTTTTTTTCCCCCTTTTACAGTTGATATCCTGCTAAAGGCTGTGGGAGACACCCCTATAATGAAAACGAAGAAGTGGGCTGTAGAACGAACCAGAACCATCCAAGGACTCATTGACTTCATAAAAAAGTTCCTTAAACTTGTGGCTTCAGAACAGTTGGTATGAAACCAATGCTGAATATTTCCTTATAATAATTTACGATAGTTACTGGCAACAATGGATAACTGTTATATATAGAAATACCTATGGAGCCACACATGTTACTTCAGTAATGTTTTTTCATTTCTTTTGTTGTGGAATTTCTGTACTTTTTTGAAGGATTCTCTGGGGAACCCTAAAATGAAATGAATTTTAGATTTACTTTTATAATGTGAACTGATTTTTTTTACCTTCTCTTTTGATTGTTTTTCTCAAAAAGTCATTGAAAGATTATTATAGAACATATAGAACTTTTCAGGTTTTAGAATTTGTTTTGATATCAGTGTTGCTTCCTTCCTATTCTTCCTGAGGTAAGCAATATATCTTGGTTGCCTCCTGCAGGGCCTGAGGGCTGGGGATCAAATCTTTGACCCAGGTAGGTGCCCTTGACCAGGAATCAAACCCAAAACCCTTGGGTCTGCAAGCTGATGCTCTAACTGCTGAGCCAAACTGGTCAGGGCTTGCTTTTTTTTTAAAGTCACTTTCAGTTCCTGACTCCTGTTATAGATCACACTGAATTCCATTACCATTACTCTACTGTCCTCTTAACACTAAAACTGTCTTACTTTTGCCTACAAAGTCCTAATTATTCTTTTCACCTAGTTAAATCCTATTTATACTCTCTTAGTGGAGGCTTTCCGTGACATTTTTGCTAGGATAAACTAATGCCACATCACTGTACTCCACACCTTATCAAATGTACTTTTCTCATCTATATCCTTATTTACATGTGTCTGCCTCTCCAGTAGATTGAAAACTCATTAATGGAGACATATTAATCTTCATAGTTCCACACCTTGGGCAGTTCCTACCACATAATAGTGAATGTCTACTGAAATAAAAACTGTCGTTAGGTGCCCTTCTCACTTAAAATGTACCAGAAGAGTAAAATCTTTGTTCACGCTTAGTTAAACTGCCAGGACCCAAATACAAATTCTTGTATCTGTATTACAGAAATTCACACTTAAATGTACACCAATCTGTTAACTTTCTGAAATTTTTATGTTAGAACATCATTCAGCCTTAACCATTAATTGACATTTATGCATGAACTATTTTGAAGTAATTTAATAATTAAAACTAGCATCTATTGAGTACATATACCAAACACTGATACGATCTCATTGTATCTTTCCCAGCAGCCCTAAGAAGTATAGGTACTGTTATTTTCCATATTCTAAAGAAGGAAACCAGCTGAGAAAAGTTATTTGTATTTAGAGCCAGAATTCAAACCTAGGTCTGTCTCAATAGAGCCTCTGTTCTTAATTACCACACTGTATCACCTAAGGGAGAAATGTAGGCAATATTTGTTTTTGTTATAGTTGGTGACCCAAGTAGTGTCTGTGTATCAATTAACTATTTATTCTGATATTGTTGGGTTTTGAAGACTATGTTAAGCCCAGGAAATTGTAGTCTTAGAATGTGACTATAGACAAAGGAAAATTAATGCGTTATCTGCAAGTTATCTTTTGTTTTCTAAAAGGAAGATTATTAAAAGCTACTTTGACACTTGTGACCTTTTGTTTCAGTATCTTTAGGAGTTATTTTAAGTACAGGTTTCCCCCACTAGCTGAAAGAAGAGCATTCCTATGAAACCTCTGCTAAGCCAAAATGTCATAAAGCAAAGAAGCAATTACCATTCATTTATATGGAAAAATTTTTAGCATACCCACATTCCCAAAATAACCTACCAAATCATACTAAATACACTTAATTATATCCACTTTTTACTAAGCATAACACCCTTATGAGCTCTCTTGGCTTTGTGATATCTTTGGTCACATCTTGCTAACAAATGCACAAAATAAATTGAGGTAAAGCACAGATGCTCACAGACACAGTCCAAAGCTATGGTGACTTGATGCTTAGATGCTGAGTGTAGTTCTCCATTAAAGAACTTGACAGGGCTAATCTTACCATTTCTATAATGGCTCACTGCAAAACATACTGAATGTTGTTCTTGCTTTCCTCGTAAAAGTGAAAATTCTCTTAGGATTTCTTCAGTTAGTTAAAACAGGTACTACTGTAGGTCTTTCATAATATGAACTTTGGAAAAGCAGAGGATACCTGTACTTGGATATTTTAATAAAAACAGACTAAACTGAAACATTGAACAATGAATCTTTTAAAAAAACAAGATTATAAGGACATTTGGTTTCAGTTATGTTACAATCTTATTTGGCTACAAGTGACTTTAAAGTAATAGCACCTAGTAAAGAGTTTTCAGTGGTGATAAAGGTAAAAAAAACAAAAACAAAAAATCCAACTGTGTATATCTTTTACCCAAGAAAAATGCACAGACTGAGAATTAGAAAAAAGTTTAGGGAAGCTTTCTTCAATTCTGAAGACAAAGAATTTAGAATAGCTGGCTGATTGGACCCCAGAAAAATGCAAATTAATCAGGATACCATTAAAAATGAATTGCTGCCCTGGCCGGTTTGGCTCAGCGGTTGGAACGTCGGCCTGCAGTCCAGAGAGACCCGGGTTCGGTTCCCGCCAGGGGCACTTACCTCGGTTGCAGTTTGTCCCCGGCCCTGGTTGGGTCATGCGGGTGGCAGCCACTCGATGTGTCCCTTCACATCGATGTTTCTCTCTCTCTCTTCCTCCCACTCTATCTGAACAAAAAATGGAAAAATGTCCTCGGGTGAGGATAAAAAAATAATAATAATGAATTGCTGTATAAATTTTCTTTTTTTGCAGTTTATTTATGTGAACCAGTCTTTTGCCCCTTCCCCTGACCAGGAAGTTGGAACTCTCTATGAGGTAAAACATAACTGCTTTGTTTCCTTAATGGAAGATGTACTCTGTGAATAGTACAATTATTAATTCACATCATTATTTTAAGAGATGCTATTCTTTTTTTTTTTTTTTTTCCTGGTTTTTATTTTTAATTTTATTTTTGTTACAGATGTTTTTCTTTTTTTACCCCATTGACACCCTCCTCCCCAACCCCCCCCACCCTGTCCCCGGCTTTGTTGTCCATGTCCATTGGTTATGCGTACATGCACATAAGTAAGAGATGCTATTCTTAATTGCCTCTCAGGGAAAAAGAGATTACTCTCTTGTTTTCTGTTATATTTCTAACATCTTGAACATTTACTACCTCAATAAATTATATAGTGATTAAAGAATACAAACAGAAGATGACTTTGAAATATGCCTGGAAAGTAAGGTCGTCTTTTTTACCTAATTCTTTTCTTCTACATTGTGTTTATAATCAGTGATCCAGATTTGCCTCCAAGAAATTTAAAAGAACACTACATAAGAATGACTTCATTGAACATTTACAGTTTCATGGCAAAAATTATTACAGTATACTATACACATTAACACCACTAGTAGAAAACAGTATATACATTACAGTTAAAGATGTAGAGAAGACACAAGATTAAAATATGTAAGCCCATTCCCATGGTGTTTAAAGGACAGGTTTTATTAGACACTGTGATTACTGATATGTGTCCAATAGCAACTCGCACTTCTTGAAAGAAATAGCTTTATAGATAACACGTTACATGTATGAGGATATTTATGATACATATACCATTTTTTCTTAATTTCATCAAAGAATAACAAAAATTAAGTTTATTGCTTTTTTTTTTTCTTTTTGTAGTGTTTTGGCAGTGATGGTAAACTGGTCCTACATTACTGCAAATCTCAGGCATGGGGATGAACTACAGATAAAAAGATCTTGATAACTAAAACGAATCTTCACAAAGGAAACAGCTCTGAAAAGTTTGATACTTGTGGGAAGAGACTTGTGGATATGATCTACTCAGCATATTATCTGCTATGACCCATGTGTATTCATTTTAAAAATCCATAGAGTAGATAGACTCACAAAAATGTGATTTGGATTAATACAGAAATCATCATAAAAGATTGACATTAGAGTATACTCAGCACTACAACTGTTGCTCCAGGTATGCCTCCAAGATACTGAACAGGAGACTAAGATTGTACAAAGCCTCTTTATTGTCAGTTTTCAAAATGACTAATATCGTTTACTTGTAAAATTAGTACTCTACTGATTGTTTTTCCACTGTAAAAGTCAGTTTAGTTTACTAAAGGAATCTTTTTTTGTGCTTATTCTGGGAAGTTCTGTTTGAGGTATGGGATATTTCTTTTCTCATTTACATATGTACCTACAGTGTTATTTTATGAAACAAAATCTCATTGACCTGCTGGCTTCATACCTTACATAGTCCAGTAGGGGGCATTCAAACTGGCAGAAAGAAGCAGTTTGGTTTTACATCTTTGTCATATGATAATGGAAGAAAAAGCTGTTCCTGCTCATTTCTAGCAAACATCTAGCCAAGAGAGCATATATGTTGATGCACTGAAAGACTGCTTTAGAGAATGTGCACAGTTTAGATTTAATTATTTTATTGGGAAACAAGGAATTTTACAAATTTTGGGTGAATGATTCATACACCTTTTTCAGTCCTATCACTTGATGATTCTGGAATCCCAATGGTTGTAGGTGTGGTGGTATTCTGTCTCTTATTTTTACAATGTCAAGAGCACTCAAGTAAATGTGGCAACATCTTTGAGTTTTTTTATAATGTATTTTTCAACTTGAAAACGCTCAAAGGAAAACTGAAAACAAGCCTTAGTTTTTGTGTGTATTACATGCCATGACTAAAAGTACCTTTTTTTCTAATGCCATTAGACTGGTAATTGCTTGAAGTGAAATTGAACTTTTTTTCTTCATTCTGTATTATATTTGCAATGCAGCATTGAAAAAAGCATTCCAATAAATTGAATGGAATGTCCAAACGGGATCTAAAATGTGTTCAAGAATTCTAAGTGTTTATTTTCAAAGGTAATGGGCATGGTATGATTTTATCAAAGGACTTTGAACTACACTTGTGTCCCTTAAATCCTAGAATGTACTTTATGGTTAATGATGTGTCATACATTAACATTAGAGGGTGCTAAGGAATAATTCAGTTTACAGTAATGAAATTACTGTTCATTTTTCATTTTCTGTCCAAGAATGAATTCTTAAGTCCCCTTATACTGATGTTCCTGTGTAATGGATTAATACAGCTAGTAGTTAGCACTGGAATAATACAGGTTGAATTGTGCAAATTTATCTGGTGAGACTAGGTAGAAATTTGTATATATGTTAAAAACTGGCAAGTATTTTCAAGTCAAATAGGTTGGGTATGGAAAAGATCTGTTCTCTAACTTTGTACATTTTCAGTTTACTGAAGGATGTGAATATATATGCATATATGTTTAACAAATAGCAAAAATGTGTTTAACTTTTATTTACACTAAGGTTTTAGGTGATGGAATATTTACTACCTCAATAATCAAAGCTACTTGAGTTTGAATTTGTGACATCAATTTAATTGTTCCTTTTTGACCTAAAGAATTTATTAGTTGATTAAATATAAGGTTGGCTTAATATATATATATACCTTACTAGTTTTATTCCTAATAACCTTGAATTTAGTATACGGCTTTACACTATTATAAATCATATTTACACTATTATCTCTTAATCCTTACCCAAATAATTAATTATTCTATGCAAACTTTGCAACATTTACTTGTAAGCCTGGATCCCATAAGGTGACTGAACCTTATACACAATTCACAAATATTTTTGCAGATGTCTGGTTTAAACTGTTAACTGTAAATGAACTTGGGGGGAATAACTGAACCCTCAGGTTATATTTTGTTTTCCATGTTTATGAGAAAATGTCATGCTTTATCTTATTGTCAAAGGACCCACAACATACAGGGTTCATGTACTAGAATATTGTGCTTCCATCTTTGAAGCTATCTACACCAAGACCTTTATAATGAGTTCCTCATACTTAGGGTATAAGGAATGCTAAGGATATTCATCTGTAATCAAAATAAGATTGGATACTTTCTGGAATCTGATTTTTTTTTTTTTAAATTTTAACCCTGAAGGGACCTTAAATGTCTAATCAGATTAGAAAGCTGAAAGAAAGGCAGGCCATTCCTTCAATTATATAGCATTAGTCAACCACTTTAGATGTGTGTAATCCAAAGTGGGAAAGTGCGGTGTTCAAGGTATCTGAAAATTGCCTTTCATGCAGGGTTATAATATGCTGCATAATCTTTTTCCACCAGAGAAGTGAGCTACAGACCTCACAATGGAAGGGAATGTATTCAGAAAGCAATACAGCAGGTTTAGTCTTATAAGCACTCTTTCCCTACATTATTCAACCCACACTGGATTATTCATTGTTCCCTGTGTTTTTCTTTTCTTACATCTACTCATAGAATTCAGTTATGGAAGTACACTTACCTTTACCCCTTCAAATCCTGCCTCTGCTTAATTCATATTTTAATTCTCCCTTAAAGCTTGTCTGAATCGGTGATGGAGGAGAAACAGTTAACTGTTCATAAGAATAGTTACAGTGAACTACCATTATTACAACACTACTGTATACTACCTTATAAACTGTCCAACACCCTTTCATGATTGTAATGCCCCTAAAAATAGGACTTTTGGGGGGTTTTTTGGTACCCACTCACATAATACTTAGTACTTTTTCTTACATACTTAATCATTAATTCATTATATATTGAGTGAATGAAATGTGTGGCTTTCAAAGTGTAATTTATTTGAAAGGCAACAGTAAAGGAAATTTGTGTAGAGTAGTCTCACCCTTACCCATGACTTCCAGTGGATGCCTACAACCCTGGATAGTACTGAACCCTACAGATACTATGTTTTTTCCTATACTTATGATAAAGTTTCCCATATATATATACCTATAAATTAGAAACAGCAATATTTAACAATAAAATAGAACAATTGTAACAATATGCTGTAAAAAAAGTATGTGAAGGGTATCTCTCAAAATACACTGTTCTCACCCTTCTTGTGATGTGAGATGATACAGTGCCTACATTATGGACCTTACAAGGTCCTCTGATTGACCCCTACTTGCAAACCCTGCTATCCATATCCATGTTCATCTGTGTTGTTATGCAAAAACTAAGTCTGCTCCCATCCTAGGGCTTTTGCAGTTACTGTTTCCTCTACTTGAAAATGTTTCCCAGAAAACAAAGTCTCACTAATATCCTTCAATCCCTGCTTAAATATCACATCAATAATATTCCCCTGAATTCTCTCTAAAATAACTCAATACCCTCAACTCTCTTCCCCCTGCTTTAGTTTTCCTCCATTGTAAATTGTATATAGTCTTTGTCCACTTCACCATGTATACTGTATATAATATTTCTTGGTGTGTCTACCTGAGCCTCTCCACCCCCGTTGGAACCTAAGCCCTCTGAGGTCAGACTTAGTTTTGTGAGCAGTGCCTGGCATGTAGTACATAATTTTTAAATGAGTTGGATGGATAGATAGATGTATATTTCCAGACCTCTAATTCTGGTGCCCTTTGGATATCCACCCCATGTCAATTACTGTCTTAAAATGTTGAAATCATTGCCCTGAGCAATGCAGAGTGCAGTTTAAAACTACTACCTCCCTGGATCTAGGTATTCCACTTACGTTACTAGAGCCTCACTTGCAACACATACCACAAAAGGTTAGCTTCTGGCATGCTTTCTACCCAAAATCCTTTCTGAACAATGGTGATTGAGCTGTCATTTGTACTTCCTAAGAATATTGTTAGCACAAGTAAATTTACACATTATACACACACACATACATACAGAGGTGGAAAAATAGGTTAAATTACCAGCCATCATTACCTAAAATATAAACCATAATGATACAAAATAAGAATACAAATAAATGTATATACATACATTGAAGCAAGGTCTAGAAAAAACAAAAGAACAGACTAGTCTTTCAGGGAAGTCTAGACCTTTAATAACCCTGAATCCAAATTATTCTATGGGTCTATAAATGAGAAAGAAGGGGGAAAAAATGAGAAAGAAGGAATCTGTACTTGCATTTCTTCTGTCCCTAACATTTTTCTTATTTCAATTCATACTTAATTTGTCTTCTCAAAGCATGCCAAGTGCTGTGTCCCACACAGAAATGCGTTTTGTTATATGTATTGCCAGTAGACTCCTCCAAGCAAACACGGACTAGAAATAAAGGATTTAAATAATCTAATTAGGCCCAGCCAGAGCGATGTCCCCTGGACTAAGGTCCCAGTTGGATTCTGAGCAGGGCACATGCCCGGATTGCCGGCTTGGTCCCCAGTAGGGGGCGTGCAGGAGGCAGCTGATTGATGTTTCTCTCTAAAAAAAATCAATAAAAACTTTTTTTTTTTAATCAAATAGGGATACCTGGCCTTTCATCGTTTTACTAGTCTTGCACAAACGTGGAGTCTCATTTGTCGAAATGTACTTCCAGTACAGTACACAATACAATATACAGATGGTGTGTTCTAGAATTGTACACCTGAAACCAATGTCACGCCAATAAATTAAATAAAAATCTTTTTTGAAAAATTTAAAGGACAACTTTGACTTACTTTCACCAAGCCTGGAGCATATTATCTATAGTTTCAATCGACCAAAACAGATCTCCATCTTAGGAGTGGACTCAACCTTTGCAAGTTCGTCACAATTCCTCAGCTCTCTCTGAAAGGAAGAGTCCCCTTCCTTTCTCAGCACCAGCCCCCCAGCCATCTTCTCCCGACCCCCCTGGTCTGCGTCCCGGGGTCTAGAACCTCTGCGGCCAAAAGGAGCCTCAGGGAACGGTGGCGGAGGGGCGCCGGGAGAGGAGTTGGGAATGGGCGGCCAAAATGCGCCCTGTTAAAGTGGGGGACAGATTGAGCGCAGCCCACCGCGAGCGCTGGGATTCCGGAGGGAAGGGCTCCTGGGAATGCTGGTTTGCTCAGAAGGCTGACGCTAAGTGCGTGAGCCTTGCCCACAGGCTCTCGCCGCCGCCGCCACCTTCCTCAGGTCACACCTCGCCTCTCCCCACCCTCCGAGGGCCATTGGTACATTCCCGCCGACTCCGAGAGCTTAAAAAGGGCCCGGGAGGCTAAACCCTGACGATTTGGTCCTGATTTGTGTACCCTTAACGTTCTACACGATCCCGAATCCTCCACGCCGCCCTGGTGCTGGTGGTGGTGGTGGTGGTGGTGGGGTGTCTCTTGATATCTTGGCCAAGAATTCTTTAAGCTGTGGATCGCAAGCGTTTGGGAGTTTTGTGCGTATAACTGCCTGGCTGGCAGCTAGATACCCTCGCCCCGGTTCCTAGGCTCTCAGCTCCTTCGCCGAAGCCCAGCAGTGAGAAAGGCGCGCCGCCACATTGCAAAGGATGGAGCAGACCGAGGTGCTAAAGCCACGGACGCTAGCCGATCTGATACGCATCCTGCACCAGCTCTTCGCTGGCGAGGAGGTCAATGTGGAGGAGGTGCAGGCCGTCATGGAAGCCTACGAGAGCGACCCCGCCGAGTGGGCAGCGTACGCCAAGTACGACCAGTACAGGTGAGTGCGCTCTCGCCCTGCCTGCTGAGGATCTCGGGCGCCTGCCGCTAAGCTCGGAGCCGCCGACTCTCGGAGTCCAGGGAGGCTCGGGAGTGGGTGGAAGGGTGGGGGTCTCGCTCTGGGAGAATGCGGGCCTCAATGCGCCCAAGCTGCCGGCGCCGAAAGGCCTTCCCCGCTCCATGCACTGCGCTTCCTCCGCCGGCGGCGAGGCTAGCCCTCCGCGCCTTGGAGCGAAGGCGGATCCTGCGAGGCTCGTCCTGCACGGAGGAGGCCGCCGCGCATCTCCAGTTTTCTATTCTGGGGAACCGACTGGCTATACTAACGGGGATCCTCCACGTTAGTGGTGCTCCCTGAAGAAAACTACATCAGTCAACCGGGGAAAGGGGTAACGGTGGAGGACACAATTCCGATGCTGGTTCTCCATCACTTCGCCCTCTATCGCCTGCAACCAGGCACCTGCCGACTGGCTTTTTTCCCCCCCTCGTAATGGAACTGTCAACTGCTCATTATCAATTTGTGGTGCCCTCTCTCCCAAACCAGTTTAACTTCCCGGACTGCGGTTTTATTTAAACCCACTATCGGGGTTTGCGAATTAAACGACTGTCTCTCATTTGCCCTCGCTCCCCCCGCAATATGCTTTTTCTTATCCTTAATATGGAACGTAAATTGAAGACCGCTGCTTCCCAGCTGCGCTGGAGTGAGATGCCCTAGGAGGCCTGGTCCTTTGTAGCTCTGGCTCTGTGATAAAGTAAAAACGAATCTCTACCATTCCTCTGGGGCCAGAAGTGAAATTTAATCACTCCGAAGAGTGAGAGGTTCTTTTCCGAAGGGTAGCTAGCCCTTCTGTCTTTATGGTTAGTTGGGTTGAGGGGGATAGTTGAAAGAGAAGAATAAGGAAAGATTACACTCTCCTTGGGAGCAGTTTCTATTAGTCATTTCACTAAACATACTTAGGGTGTTTGATAAAGTTCTGTTGGCAAGGACTGTTTCAACTGTATTTTAGGATTTGAAATAAAAAAGTGAAGCCTAGCCGCGCTGGTGCGGCTCTGTGGTTGAGTGTGGACCCATGCATGCACCAAGAGGTCGCTGGTTGGATTCCTGGTCAGGGCACATGCCCCGGGTTGTGGGCCTGATCCCCAGTGAGGGGCGTGCAGGAGGCAGCCAGTCTATGTTCTATCTCATCCATGTCTCTATTTCTCTCTCCCTCTCCCTTTCTCTCTCTCTAAAATAATAAAGAAAAAAAAAAAGTGAAGCCTACCTAGGATCCCATTTTCCACTTGCAAGTGGTTCCTATCAACTCAGTTCATGGTAAGGTCCTTGTGTGGGTGACAATAAAGTTACCAGAGTCTAGTTTTCAATTTTGCCATTAGCTCCAAGTAATTGAGGATTTGTTGTGGGCCAGGTGCCATTACAGTCACTTTGCATGTTTGTTAACTCATTTATATCTGACAGCTCTATGAGGTTGGTGACATTCTTATCCCCATTTTACAGGTGAGAAATGGTAAGCAATAAAAAGTTTAATTACCTGAACAAGGTGTCAAGAAGTAGCACCAGGATGCAAATTAGCATTATTGTTCCAGAGCCCACACTCTAAACCACTATTAAGCTCTTTGTAGACATACCGTGTATAATAGTTCTCTTCTGCTGCCTAGAGATATTATTGAGCAAATGAAATTAATTAGCCAGGGTAGGTTCTAAGTGTTCTTAATCTTTAGAAGAAGGACATTTCCAGGGGCCTTGAAATTTTCTTTACTGACAAGCTCTAAACCACTTGAAATGCAGCCACTTGGATTTATTTATTCCACAGGTATCCAAGATAACAGCTCACTAAAATAATGGGTGCAGTCCTTCCTGGGTGAGTGTTTGGAGGAGGAGAAAGGGAGGGAGAAGGGAGAACAGAAATGAATTTAATAGTATTTTTTGCATATAATAAGTATCCAAGCACTGTGAGGAATTCTGGTCTCTGACCTTGAGAAGGCCAATGCAGAAGAACCAAGACAGAATGGGTTCCAGTGGGCCAGACAGTGAATTTTCTGACAGAAGTCCCAGAAAAGCAAGAGGGATGATACGAAGACTGGTGGAGAGAGAAGTGGGATCCTGGTACAGGAACCGAATTTACTGTGAATTAAAGGCCACATGCACAACTCCTTGCTCGGTCATAGAAACCTACAAAGTGAGGATGACTGACATCTAAAGAGCATTTACTAATCACCTCCTTCAGTAATCCTGCTCTGCCAGCACTTGGCCTTCTGCTGGGGGGCAGAGGGGGAGGAAGGGTTATGTAGGACATAAGTGAACAGATGACTGTATGAACAAACACTACCCCAGAAATGAGGTAAAGATTGCTTTCCTTAAAAGTGACAGTCTAAATGAATGTCATTAAACTTTGCTAATTAGATGGCATCATTAGTACCTCTTGGACCAATAGAAACTTTGAAGTTGACTTTTTCTCTTCTCTTCTCTTCTCTTCTCTTCTCTTCTCTTCTCTTCTCTTCTCTTCTCTTCTCTTCTCTTTCTTCTTTTCTTTTTCCCTGATGCGATTGTGGTTGTTTTGGTTCAGGATTCTTTCTTTCTTTCTTTCTTTCTTTCTTTCTTTCTTTCTTTCTTTCTTTCTTTCTTTCTTTCTTTCTTTCTTTGGCTTATTACTGTTTTCTCATCATTGTAAAAAGTTCAGAATGTTAGTTACTTTCCTAATGTAGTCAGTCTCCTATGTTCTGGTACTTACACCCTCCCCACCCCCCAACACACACACACACACACACACACACACACACAATTTGTGGAGGACTTTTCATTAGGGGTACTTTTTAATGTGGTTTGTGTCTGGGCTCTAGTTAAACTAAGGAGAATTCTTGAACAACTATTTAATGAAACCTTGTTTCTCAAGTTCAGGTTTAGCTGCCTGAAGAAAAAGACAAAACAAAACAATAGCAACATGCTTGCCTAGAGCAATAAGGCCCTGTGCAAATAGCTTCGTGAGAAAGTTTTTATCAGTTTGAGGCAGTCACATGAAGAAGAAAGGAATTTGATTTTTTTTTCCTGTTAACTTTTTCATGCCATTAATTAAAACTGAACAGCTATAAATGCAGTGATTCAAAATATAAAAATGTCCAAAATAAACTGGGAAAAAATATTTTTCATTTGTGCTGGATCTCTAGTTACAAAACCACACTCAGTTGTTTAGAGGTAGAAATCGTAACATCTGTAAATGAATGATACTTTGTGACACGCTTATTTTTCCCAGTGCTTCTTTCCTGGCCCATATTCAAACTTCTGAATACATTCTTTTCAGGTACACCCGAAATCTTGTGGATCAAGGAAATGGAAAATTTAATCTAATGATTCTATGTTGGGGTGAAGGACATGGAAGGTAATACAACTATTCATTCATAAATATTTATTAGAGTATTCCAGCATATGCAATGTACAGTGCCAGGCTGGCCACAAATCTTGAGAGCACTAACCAATCTCATTTTATAACTGTCTGTCCCCTAATCCCAACAAAAAAATCTCATGGGAATTAGCATGAAGGGTTTAGGCATACACCATGTATATCAAAACTATGCCCCCCTAACCCCCGCAAATGAGTAGTAAATCAAATAGGTGGTAAACAGTTTAATTTATTCTCTCTACAAACTTTTATGAGATTGTGCTAAAACTTGACCTTTGTGGTATTTTGAATTGTGTGAATAATTGTGGGACGAAGACCCAAGCATCCAGATTTGGAGCTAGAAAAGCAGCTCACAAATTCAGAAAATGTCTTTCTACTTTAAGTTTATGGTTTACTTTCTTTATATAGAGGGTAAGGCAACTTAAACTAATTTCAGTTCTTTGAAACTTGGTTCCTTAATTATCCTTAGTTTACACATTTGCCAACATCATTACCAATTGAGTATTATCTCTTTAAACAGATCCTTCTCAGTCTTTTGAGAATGGTGCAAACAAATAATCCTGAACCATTTTTGATGGGAGAAAGGAAACAAGAATTTACAGGACTTTGGAAAATTAGGTTTATAGAATATATTTTTGTACTCAGTGGAGTGGAGAAGTTTTCACTTGTTCTCTCAATGTTTCTTCAAAGCAGATTGTATATAAAGAGTAGGATAAGGCTCTGTAGATTTAGGAAACAAATTCTCCCTATGATATATATATATATATATTTTAATCAACCTTACAGATAATCCTAATTTAATAAATTTAAATATTATTTACTCTAAGATTAGATGAATACATTTTTTTTCCCAAATCAAATTTACTTTATTTTTTTCACAAATATTGGGATGTAATCACAGCTGGATACTCTAAATCTATAAAATGTTAGCATTATATATACATTACAGTATAATTTTAGGGTGGTGGTAGTAGATACACACATGCCTTTTGTTCCCCAAAGGAAGGATAAAAGAGAGAAAGCCTGGGAAAAATCATTAAATTTTAAGTGATCTTCTCAGTGTGATGCAAAGATTACAGATGATTATTTTTGTTCTTCCTAAAAATTCTCCAATGTGGTTTTATAATCAAGTTTTAGCCCAGCTTAACTGAGTTATTTAAAACTATGTCTTGGAGAAGATAAAAGGTTGTTGGTTTTGTGTTTCTCATATGAAAGTAGTATTATAACAAGGTTTAAAAAATTTAACTTCTTTAGTAGGGGGTATGCATGAAAACTATACCCCTTATATGCATTGATGTGGAAGATTTTTTTTTTTTTTTTATCCTCACCCGAGGATATTTTTCCATTTTTTGTACAGATAGAGTGGGAGGGAGAGAGAGGAAGGGAGAGAGAGAGAGAAACATCGACGTGAAGGGACACATCGAGTGGCTGCCACCCGCACGACCAACCAGGGCCGGGGACAAACTGCAACCGAAGTACGTGCCCTTAGCGGAACCGAACCCGGGTCTCTCCAGACCACAGGCCGACGCTATAACCACTGAGCCAAACTGGCCAGGGCTGATGTGGAAGATGTTTTATTTATTTTGAACAATGTGGAATTATAAATTGATGATATTTCAAAATCCAGCTGAAATGGATTTTGTCCTGGGAGATAACCTATTGACAGTGTGCAGCTATAAGCTCTGGGCTGTTACTGCAGGTCTGGGTGCTGGACCATCTACTGAGTTCGATTGTCATTTTGTGTATATATAGCAGTATCCATGACCACACCAACTCTCACTGCTTTCTGAAGATGCTGCAGGGAAATTTAAAGGAGACATTATTTGCCTGGCCTGACAAAAAATCCAATGAGATGATCAAGAAGTCTGAAAGAATCTTGAGGGAAAACCAGTGTGCCTACATCAACGGTAACGTCCAGTACCTTTTTTCTAAGGGCAAGTGCGAAAGACCTTTAACTCCCATCTGAAATATTGGTTACTTACACATGTGCAATACAACTTGAATCATGGAGTCATGATTTCAAATACTTGGGAAGGGGCCTGAAAGCAGTGCATTTTACTTTTTAAAGTTTTGCATCTGGACTACAATCACTTAATTAGAAGCACATGTGTGTAGATTAGTGCCGACTGAAAAGTCATTTACCTGCCAAGTCTTAGGATAGTTAGAATTGAATATGAATTTACTTATGTAGAGCCTTTTAATAAAGGAATGAGGCCAAGGTGGAAATATTAGTCTTTGTATTAGAAAATATAAAGAAGTGGCCCTGGCTGGATAGCTCAATTTGTTAGAATGTCATCCTGTATGCCAAGGTTGAGGGTTTGATCCCCAGTCAGGGCACATACAAAAACCAACCAATGAATGCATAAATAAGGGTAACAACAAATTAATGTATTTCTCTCTCTCTCTCTCTCTCTCTCTCTCTCTCTCTCTCTCTGCCTCCCTCCCTCTCTCTCCTCCCTCTCTCTCTCTCTGAAATCAATCAATAAAAAAAATTTTTTTTTAAAAAGAAAGTGTAAAGAAATGTTCTGGAAGTAGTTACCAATGCTAGCTAATCCCTGTTTTTCTAAAATGCATATAACGTACTTAAAAGATTATACTCAAGGGAAACTTTATAAAGCACATTATGTAGCAGTGATTTATAGCTCTCTCATCAAGAATTTTTTCTTTCCCTGAAATGTGATATGGTAAAGCCAAATGCTTTTTAGGAGAGGCAGTGATTAACATCTGTATTCTTAAAGCTTATATGAGATCATTTATTCCCATTTACAGATGAGATTCCAACACATAGGAAGATTAAATAACTTGTCCAAGTCACAACTTTTAAGTGGCAGCCAGGATTTGAACCTAAGCAATTTGATTCCAAAAGTCATACTCTTATTGGATGCTATCCCACTTACATACAATAAAGTATTACAGAGATTTTTCTGGCAAGGCAGGATCTTCTTTAAAGACAAGTATTGGACTTGATATGTGGATTAAATTTGTTTATTAGTTTCAGAATGCACTTAAAAAGGTCAGATTTTACAGTAGTTTCCCATTACCTGTGGGGGATATGTTCCGAGACCCCATTGAATACCTGAAACCATGGTTAGTAATGAACCCTATATATACTGTTTTTTCATATACACACATACCTATGATAAAGTTTTGTTTATAAATAAGGCACAGTAAGAGACTAAAAGCAATGATTAATGATAAAGTAGAACAATTATAACAATATACTGTAATAAAAGTTATGTAAATGTGGTCTCTCTCTCTCTCTCTCACAATATCTGATAAAGGAGATGGCCACTAAGTGGCTGAAGGGCAGGGAGCCTATACAGCAGGTTGGACAAAGGGATAATTCATGTCTGGGTGGGATGGAGCGGGAGATTTTATCATGTTACTCAGAATAGCACACAATTAAAAATTTACGGTTTATTTTTGAAATTTTCCATTTAATGTATTCACACCATGGTTGACCACAGGTAACTGAAACTGCAGATAAAAGGGGACTACTACATGGGAGGTTTTACCCCCATTCACATCACACAAGGTGTTCGTTTCTTATGTAGTAGGAAACTCTTATTTGAGGATTGCTGTATATCCGAGACACACCAGATTTTCAAGAACAAGTTTGATGCCCATGTAACTCACAATAAAGCAAAAAGCCTTTTGGAATAATTACTTTCAGCTAGCCACAGTCTTTGTGAAGCCAGATTAGATCTTGAAGAATAGGTAAAAGACCTACAATGCAAAGAGTGTAGGAACCAAGCAGATAATAGGAGTATAGGAGCCGCAGCGGGGAATAAGGCTGTGGGAACTGGTGTGTGCAAGCCACAGAGCACCAATGGGCACCCAGCACCAGTGAGATCATTCTGATTTCTTTTTCCACAGAAATAAGAAATTCTGATTTTTATGGGAAAGTTTGCCAATTAGTAAAATAGTGGGTGGAATAAGCTCAATATTTCTGTGCCCCATATGATCAGAAATCACAAATTTACAACCTTTGATTTTTACAGATGCAGGAGGAGTGTAGATAGATACCGATTAGTGGGAAAGCTGTTTTACGTACAGGGAAGAGCATGAGTGAAGGCATAGTTGCTGCAAAAAATAAAGACCAGTCAGGAATGGTCCAGCTGGAGGGAAGACGGGAGAAGGGGCTTGGAGAGGAATAGTGGGAGAGTAAACGGGGGTCTGTCCTGGGCCTCCAAGACCAGCTTAAAATAAGAGCTTGCTTTATCAGCAGAATTTTATTTGAGAATCTCTCTTTTTTTTAATTGACCATTTTCACCATTATTTTTTTAAATTTTGTTTTCTTTATTGATTTGAGAGAGAGAGGAAGGGCGAGAGAGAGAAAGATAGAAATGTTGATGAGTGAGAACATTAATTGGCCGCCTCCTGTGCGGGATTTGACCCACACCCTGGGCATGTGTCCTGACCGGGAATCAAACCAATGACCTCTTGGTGCATGAGTCAATGCTCAACCACTGAGCCACACCAGCTGGGCTATTTGGGAATATCTTGATCATTTTGGTAGCAGTGTACAAAACATAAAGTGGAGGAAAGGGAGAACTGGGGCAAGGAGACCAAGTTCCCTATTATAATAGACAAAATGTAACCATGGCCAGGATCAGTCTGGCGTCCATAAGTATCAACAAGTTCAGAATCACTGTGACAGAGGGTACACCATAAGGAAAAGAGGCAAAGACCAAAAATAATAATGTTGAGATTATTAACAATTGGGATCAGACATGAGCTTCCGGAGGTTCTTCAAAGGATTGGTAACTAGTTTTTGTGGGGCCTTTGCTTACAGAATTGTCCAGCATGCATTGGGTGGTGTGTATCTTTGCAGTTGGAGGAACAAATAATTTGTGTAAGGGCAGTCAGTTCTTAAGAATGTTGAACTTCTGTTCAGAATTGTGCTTAAGCCAGTATACTGTGAAAGCAGCAAGCTATAGAATTAAAGAGTTTGCAGATGTGAGAATTAGGCCCCATTTTTAGAAGTAAGAAAAGCTGAAGATTCTTAAGTTGTGAATTGTTTAAAGGTAGTTTAGCTGGGAGCAGAACCTAAGTCTTCTGCTTCTAGGCTTTGCTGTTCATCATGCAAATTCATGGAGCTAGATCATAAAGCATAAGGCAAATTAGGTGCCTACATTAGCTACACTAATTACACTGAATTCTCTCCTGATTGGTCCTCAAACTCTATAAATTTCTCAGCATACTTTTTTAAAATCATGTATTTTGTCCTTATTTCTTTATTTTAATCTTTGAGACATCCCCTCCAGGGTCTTTGACCAGCTTCTGTGTGGACTGTTTGATCTCCAGGCCAGGGCTCCACTGTCATTCTGGGGTCCCCTCACATCATTCGGGCTTTCCCTTTGCCATCTTCTTTTGCTAATTCCCTTGTTTCCTGATCTGTGTCTACTTCATTCTTGGTCCAGGCCCTTGTTTTAAAGGAGCATATCCAGTAGCTCTATGAAGAAGGGTTCGTGGAAAGAAATTTTTTTGAGCCCTGGCTGGTTTGGCTCAGCAGTTAAGAGTGTCAGCCTGCGGTCCGGAGAGACCCGGGTTCAGTTCCCGCTAAGAGCACGTACCTCGGTTGCAGTTTGTCCCCGGCCCTGGTTGGGTCGTGTGGGTGGCAAACACTCGATGTGTCCCCTTCACGTCTATGTTTCTCTTGCTCTCTCTTTCTCCCACTCTATCTGAACAAAATGTCGAAAAATATCCTCAGGTGAGGATTTAAAAAAAAAAAAAAAAAGACATCTTTTTGAGATCTCATATATCTAAAACCTCTATATTTAACCCTTGCAATGTGATTGCTAATTTAGCTGGATAAGGAATTGTGACCTGACAATCATATTCTCTCAGAATGATGAAGGTGCTGCCTTATAGTTTTCAGTCCTTTTTTATTATTATTTATTTTAGAGAGAGGGAAGGGGGAGAGACAGAAACAGAGACATAGATTTGTTTTTCCACTTGTTTATGCATTCATCAGTTGTGCTTGTATGTGCCCTGACTGGGGATCAAACCCACAGCCTTGCTGTATTGGGGCAACGCTCTAACCAAATGAGCTACCGAGGCAAGGCTTTCAGTCTTGTTGAAAGTCTGCTGTCGTTCTGATTCTTGAATCTTTCTATGAAGCCTATTTTTTCTTTCTAGAAACTTTTGAGATCTCTTTTGTTATATTGTCTCTGTCCCTAGTGTTATAGTGATGATGTACGTGTTTTATGACTCTCATGTGCTGGGTACTCAATGGGTTCTTTCTTTTTTTTCCTTTTGCGGGAGGGAGAGAGACACATCGAGTGGTCGCCACCCACACAACCCCAACCGGGGCCAGTGACAAGCTGCAATAGAGGTACGTACCCTTAGCAGGAACCCAACCCAGGACTCGGGTCCGCGGGCCAGCGCTCCAACCGCTGAGCCAAACCGGCCAGGGCTCGGTGGGTTCTTTCAATCTGGAAATTCATGTCCTTCCATTCAAGAAAATAACTTTGTCCAGTTATTTCTGTGACTTTTTTTTTTTCTGTTTATGAAACTCCTATTGCTCAGATATTAAACCTCCTCTTGATTTATTTTATCTTTTGTTCCTCTTTTCGATCTTTGTTCTTTTGTTCTTTGAGTCTTCCTCAGCTTCCCCAGTTTTTCTTTTAAAATTTCTATTCAAGTTTTTATTTCTAAAAGCTCTTTTTATTCTCTGGTCCTTTCATAGTATTTTCTCTTATCTCTCTGAGGCTATTAATGATAAGTTTGTTTTTAAGTCTTCTCCTGAATTATGTCTGTTTCTAGTTGCTTTTTTTCAGGTTGCTCTGGCCACTGTGTTTCATACTTGTTCAAATGTCTGGTGACCTTGGCTGTGTGCTAATATTTAAAAACCAGTGGAAAAAAATGTCAGTTGGTAGCTCTAAACACTGGACTTTGTTCTAGGATAATCTGACAGCGCTTTTCTTTGGTAAGGATACAACCAAGGGCAGGCAGTATCCTTAGGGCTTTGTTCTTGAGCCAATCAGATTCCCTGAGAAACTGCTTCCCACCTCCTGCCTGGAGAAAAAAAAATTCCTGTCTGGCAGCGAGGTGGTGAAGAGAGTGGAGCTGTTCCATTCAGCATATAAATTTTCACTTTGTACACCTGTTTTTCACCTGCCCTGAGTTCATCTATTATATTCTTTTTAGATACTAGACCTCAGACTTCTCGGGGGGAGGGGAGAGAGAAGTGGTGAAAGGGATGTGAGACTGGACTAAGTGGGCCTTTAACCAGTTCTTGTTGTTTTGCCCCATCTTCATGCCCATTTCCAGAAATACCAAGCTGCCAATTTCTGAGCTCTTTGGGAAGTTCACAATATAAACCAGATTATTTCTTGGCTATCTCCATGTGTCAATGAATATTTAGCTTTCTCTGTTCTGCAAAGCTATTCATCTACAGTTAACCCTGAGTGACTTGGGTTTGAACTGGATGGATCCACATATACACAGATTTTTTTTTTTCCAATAAATACCTGTAATGTTTTTGGCCCAAGGTTGGAAGTCCATGGGTGTGGAGTACTGACTATATGCATTGATGTATGCTGTTTTATACAGGGCAGTGGGAGACTCGAGCATCCTCGGATTCCCCCATAGATACTGAGGGACAACTAAACTTTTGTGGGAGTCAAAAGTTATATGTGGATTTTTGACTGCAGAGGGTGGGAGTTGGCACCTCCTAATGTCCATGTTGTTAAAAAATCAACTGTACATAAGCTTTTACATTTTTAGTAATGTTTTCTCTTTTTCTATTTTCTTTGTATGTTGATGCCATTTTTGTTCTTTTACTAAAGTTATAGGGGTTTTCAGGAAAGAACAGAGTGCATATGACTTACTATCTTTAATAAGAAGTTCAATTCCAACTAATTTTTCTCAATTAATTTTGTTCAGTTCTAACTAATTTTTGTTAATTCCATATGTACCCAATTGATTTATGATCTTAGATGACTGACAGCTATCATCTAAAATTGTTTATCTGTTCTTCTTGGATGTTGTTTAGATTCCATAGGTTTACATCGAGTAGAAAATATCAGCCATACAGAACCTGCCGTGAGCCTTCACTTGTACAGCCCACCTTTTGATTCATGCCATGCCTTTGATCAAAGAACAGGGTATAAAAACAAAGTCACCATGACATTCTATAGCAAATTTGGGATCAGGACTCCATTTGTAAGTATAATTTCTCTCCTAGATTTAAGTGCTTTGAGACAACATAATACTGTATGTGTTGCTTTTTTGTTCTAGATATTACTTGAATATTTTAAGTAGCCTTGAATTGAAGTTTAGCTGAATCTTAATTGAGGGGAAAGGTTCCTTATATCCTAATTCTTTAACTTTGTAGACTATATTTTTACTTTATAAATAAATTTAAATTAGATGTAAGGAATTATTGAGAAAGTTCAAAATGTATCCTCATTTCTAGAGAAAATTTTTTTATTTATTAGAGAAATAAGAGTGAAATCTATTTGATAAAACTTCTTAGGTCTAATTTGCTGGGACAACACAAATAACTTGCACAGTTAATCTTTGCAAAGTTTGAGATCCTATTTCGATGATACAAATAAAGAAACTTGCCCAGCCGGTGTGGCTCAGTGGTTGAGCATTGAAATAATGGACCACGAGGTCACCAGTTGGATTCTGGATCAGGGCACATGCCCAGGTTGTGGGCTCCATCCCCAGTAGGGGGCGTGCAGGAGGCAGCCAGTTGATGTTTCTATCTCTCCCTCTCCCTTTATCTCTCTCTAGAAAAATCAATAAAACATATTAAAAAAAGAAAGAAATTCTCCTGTTTTGATTGCCATATTACTTTTTATTTCAGTAGTGATGCTATTCAGACCACAAACAAATGACAGTAGACTATAACAACATGTTGAGGAACAAGTGTTTCCACCTAAAAATAGTAAGGCAACCAATAGTAATATGATATAGCAATCTTCTGCCTCTGGTGAAATAAAATGGCCACTTAGGGGAATGTAAAGATTGAAAACCATTCTCGTGAATCTTATAAAAGTACAACCTTTGAGAGAAGCTAGGGCAGAATTTTCTGCATTTTGATCCCCAAGAACTACTCCATGACAGGAACAAAACAACAAGGCTCTACAGCCACTGCTGAGTTTTCATACACTGATTTAAAAAAAAAAGCAGGACTGTTTAGAACAAGCAGAAATGTCTGGTATGAAGATTCTCATGCAGTTTTCTTTTTTTTCTTTCTTACAGGCAACTTCTGGATCACTGGAGAACAACTAAGGAGCACCAAGCCCTCTAAGGGTTGCAGAAAGTTCCGCCTTGGACAGACAGGAGGGCCTTCCACCCTGTGCTGTTCAGTCATACACTTTACAAAGCCAATACTTAGATCTCCAGTAAGGCAGATGCCAATTATAAGGCATTCAGTGAGCAAATAGTGACCTGAGCTACTACAGAAGAAAAATCCCTTAAGAAAAAAAAAAAAAGCTTGTGATTTTTAAAGGCCAAATCAAGTGCTCTCCTGGTTTTATTCTGTAAATCCATTGGAACCATACAGGGAATGTCAGCGAAGGTTTTTATAGCTTTTGGAAATACTTTAGTCTCTGAACTGTAATTAGCAATTAGTAAAAACAAACTACAGACATCAAATGCCTGTCTTGTGACTTGGATGACTAAATGTCTTCAGTATACTTTGTATGTTCTTAATATTTGAAGAGTTTTTTTTTTAATCTGTAGATTTTATTTTTTCAATCATATTTTACAAATTCCTATTCTATAAATAATAAGATGTTGTAGATAGAGAAACTTAAGGTACTTTGACAGTTGATAATGAAATGAAGGGCAAAGGATTTAGAAAAGTACAGGTACCCAAAGCCCTGATACCCCGAAAACATAATCTCATGTCTGGTGTGTCCAGTGGTCATAGTCAAAGACTTTGTACTGCTCTCAAATTCCCAAATAATTTTAATAAAACTGGATTTGAACACAATTTGAAGTTGTCTTTCTGTTTAATTTCATAAAATTTATAGTTTCTTAAATTTGGGTAACCTATCAAAAAACAGTGCTAAGTATGATTTTCTGACATAAGACTATGAGAGGGCCCAAAAACTACATTCAGAAATGGTTTTACATATGTTCACTAATTGGTTGGAAATACTAACCTGAGGGACTAACTGTAGACATAACCAATTTTGCCTAAAAATTGTGTGCAGGTCTGTACAAGCAGACCTCATTTTATTGCACTTCACAGACATTGCATTTTTTTTTTTTTTACAAATTGAAGGCAAAAGACCCTCTACCAGCAAAAAGATTACAGCTTGCTTTATAGCAGTGGTCTGGAACCAAACCTGCAATATCACTGAGATAATGCCTGTCCGTGTTTAAATGTGAATTTTCCAGTTTTTAAAAACTGGAGATTTCATAGAAGAATAAGATGTGGATTTCTGCTTTTTGGAAATTTGAAGTATGTCACAACACTGGACTGCATTGAATTTTCGTTGGCATCAGTCAGCTAGGCTAGGGTCTGTCCCTTAGATGGGGCCACCCTTCCAATCTGCAGCAGCCCCCAACTTGCCTATTTCCTTGATGTATGTTACCAGCAAAACCCACATATGCATTTGAGTTTGCTACCCCTACTTTAGGCAGTTTTCTTAGGAATATCTGTCATCATCTTGGTATTTCATTATCTCTAGAAACTTAATTAGAGAGTAATGTCTTTTGAAGATAGTTCTACATAGGTCATTGGCTGCATTTATACCATCTTGGAATTATTTACATCTTTACATCTTTGCTTCCTCTTATCTTTGTGAAGGATGGTAACATTTATTGAGTGCTTACTACATACCAGGTTATGAGTTGTTTAGATGTACTAACAAACTTAATTTTGTTAATAAAACAAACCTCCTCATGAATTAGGTACTTTAGTAGTTTTCTACTGCTGCTGTAACATCATCACAAACTCAGTGGCTTAAAGCAACACACATTGTATTTTCCTACAGCTTCATAGGTCAAAAGTTGAACAGTTTTACAGTGCTAAAATCAAGATACAAGCAGGGCTGCGTTTCTTTCTGTAAATTCTGGGTAGGATCTATTGTATTGGGTTTTTCTTCTGGAGACCACTGTGATTTGGTATCCCCTTCCTTCATCTTCAAAGCCAGCAATGGCAGACTTAGTTCTTCTATATCTTAGCATTCTGATCTATTCTCTCCTCTTGTACTTTGAAGGACTCAAGTGATTAGATAACATCTCCATCTCTAGGTTGTACCCTTAATCCTATCTGTAAAGTCTCTTTTGCTGTGTATGGTAACATATTCATAGATTCTGGGGATTAGAACGAGGACTTTTGTGAGGTTATTCTGCCTGCCACAGTTTGCTCTCTTGCTCCCAATGAGCCATGCCTATCCCACATGCAGAGTAGGTCCACCCCATCCCAAGACCCCCAAAGTCTCATCCCATCACAATGTCAACTGAAATTCCAAAAATCCTATCTAAATTATATCTCATCATTTACATTCAGTATGGGTATAATCCATACTGGGACACAATTATTCCCAATATTTAAACCTGTTGAGCATAGTTTAGAAACTTATCAAACTATCAAAAGTTATCCAGCCAAGAAACTACAGGGCTACGATTTGATTCTAAGCAACCTTGCTTTAAAACTCATTCTTTTTATACTCAAGCCTTTCAGGATGAGAGAAATGTAGGCCACTTCCCATTTTTGCTTTCTATTTTTAAACAACAAAATTATGGTGTATTTATAGTTTTATATGTATGGTATATTTCGATGTTTAATGTATTGCACTTGTAACATACATAAATGTGGTAATACCCTATTTATGACAAGTAATGGCCAAATCTGAATTTGAGGATCCTTGTACATGTGAGGTTCAACCTAAATGGCTGCTCTGGTGGTCCTGGCCATCCTGCCCAGCCTGACCTCTGTGATTAGCTCTGTTCACTACTGCTCATGACAGCGTTCACAGAGAAGCAGCATGCTTCTAGAGTTGCTCAGCACATGGTTGGGTTGATGAGGTGTATGTATACACGGCAAGGCAGTGAAGCCATCAAGACTCAAAGAGATTATGTAGGAGGGAAAAGGAACATCGAGGGATGGAATCATGCTGGTTGCTTAGGGTGAATGGGGTGTAAAAGAAGAGGGTAAGGACCTGAGTCTAGAAGAGGAGAATGGGCCCTGTGTGTGAAGAGACAGTGAAGGGCTGGTAGTGAGCCCAAGAACCATCTTAGCACTCAGTACCTCCCTTCTTACCTACAGTTCAGGCCTCAGCACTTACTGTTCATGCTGCCTGGTATGCCCCTTCACGCTCTTTCCATGGCTGGCTCTTGTTGTCCTTTTGATGTCAGCTTAAAAGCCATCTCCCCAGAAAGGGATTCCCCAACCACCTATCTGAAGGTAAATCTCCAGGCACTCTCCATCCAATTTCATTGACACACTTACAGTTATCTAAAAACTGTCATGTCTTTTTTCACTTCTTTATCATCACATTCTACTAATAGGATGCAAGCCTCATGGGGTAGAGACATTGTTTCATTCATTGCTGTATCCTGAGCACTTAAACCACATTTGACACAAAGGAGGTGTTCTTTTTATGAAATGAATGGAAAAACTTTCAATCTCCTTACATAAGAGTTGTATTAACAAACCCTTGTTGCTATGGTCTCTTCTACGTACCACCAAATCATGTGCCATGTTATCTTTACTAAGTATAGAAATTCTAAGGACCTTTTTTGTTTTAAGCCACAGACTTATTTCTTCTGTTGTCTATGTCAGAGGCTTATCTTTTGGTGTGGGTTTGTTAATCATGTACTTAGACAAACTAGTTGATGTGTATTTTATGGGAAGGGGCAGCATTAATTATCCCACTTAGCAATGGTGCTTAACCTTTTTTTTTTTTTTCTGATTCAGATCACTTTTTAAATCTCTGAATGCTAAAGAACTCTCCAGAGAGTTCAGAACAAATATGCATACAATTTCAGATTAGATTTCTGGACCTTCTGAAGTTCACTAGGGACCCCAGTTGAAGATCCCTGTCATGTGGGAGTCAAGACAAATGGGAAGTAGTGGCTATTTCACTCCATTTTCTGAAATAGGAGGGCACTAGATAGCTGGGCGACTGATTAATCTTTCAAACATTACAACAGGGTTTCTAGGAAACACCAGAGACCAGTGCTACTTTGTCCAAGGCACGTCCACACATTTCACAAGATCTGCTATCTCTCTTTCTAAAAACATTTCAGATACTTTAGAAAAAAAAATTTCACAATGTTATTTATCCAGTGAGTTGATGCTTTCTACACAGCATCAAATATTACACAGAGGACAAATATTATGTGATTCCACTTATATGAGATACCTAGAATACCCAATTCATAAAGACAGAAAGTATAGAGCTTTTCAGGGACTAGGGGATGAAGGAAGTTATTTGTTCAATGGATACAGAGTTTCTTTGGGAGATGATGAAAATAATTTGGATATAGATAGTGGGAATGGGTCCACAGCATTGTGAATGTATTTGATACCACTGAATTGTACATTTATAAATGGTAAAAAATGATAAATATGTATATTTTCCTACCATAAAAAAAGTTATTTCTAAAAAAAAAAAAAAGGTGCATATGGAAAAAGGTACATGTGGGGTGTGTATGTATGTATTGAAATAGATAAGATGTACTGTCATACAAAATGCAAATGATATGAAAGGTATATGGTGAAAGTTTCCTTTCCATTCATCTCCTCAGGCTCTCAGTTTCTCTAGAGGTCACCGAGTTTCTTGTGTTTCTTGTGTGTCCTCATTTATTTTTGCCATTATTTATACATGGAATGGCATCCTAAAGTCCATGTTGTGCACTTACAAGGAGACCTTTCCTTATCAGAATGCAAACAGTTCCTGCATTCTTTTGGACTGCTGGCTGTGTGGTATTCCATTGTATGAATGTACATAGTTTAGTTCACCAGTCCTCTGCTGACGAACTTTGATGTGATTTCCAACCTTTTCCAACTACAAACAATTCTTCAATGAATAACCACGTGCATAATGTCATTTCATAAATATCAGTTGATTGTTTCTTTATTATGAAACAACCAAGATAACTCAGCCCAGGAAATGAGGTAATGAGAGGTCATTGCAAGTTGCCCTGACTGAAGAGTACCTCTTTGTGCAGAATTTATCACCTGATGTCATCGCCATTCAGTTCAGCCCCTTCCACTTTGCTCATTGGTCAAGTGTGTTCATGTGGACCCTCCAGTGCTGTCAGAGCTTAACACTCACAGAGATTACTTATCACTGTCAAGAAAGCTCAGGGAGCCCTGGCCGGTTTGACTCAGTGGTTGGAGTGTTGGCCTGCAGACCAGAGAGTCCCGGGTTCGGTTCTTGCTAGGGGCACGTACCAAAAAAAAAAGAAAAGAAAGAAAACCCAGGGAAAGTCCATGTGTCGGTGGTCAATTTACAATTCTGCTTGTGCTCAG